AGAGAGAGAGAGAGAGAGAGAGAGAGAGAGAGAGAGAGAGAGAGAGAGAGAGAGAGAGAAAGAGAAAAAATTGTAGAAGAAAAATTCATTTATATTATTATTTATTTAAGCAATCAAAGTAAATTAATTATTTATTTATTTATTAGAATGAAAAAGCACATTCAATATATATATGTATGTAGCATAAAATTTTAAAAGACAAAAAAACCACGAAAATATTTATGTACACTTTTCAAAACAATAAAGGATATATATATTACGTAGGGGCGCTACAATGTTCCTCATCCACAAGTCTTAATACCCGCCAGCGAAGAGTACGATATACTCGCTTTTCGCGAAGAGTTTTGCCTTCCCCTAAAACGCCCACAATGACATAAGCACGCTTAATAGCAAATTTTGCACTTATATAAAATTTCGATCTTTTTAATAAATTATTTATGAAAAGAAACAATTACAAGATTTATTAACATTTACTTAGATGTTTTAATATACAGAAGAATTTTTTTTTTTTACTTTTTTGAAAAGAAAACGCAGCTAACTAGCTATATCTCTCTATTGTCTTACTGGTCCGCCCTTACCGTGTCACTAGATATCTGCAGCGTAGAGCGATTATACAAAGCTTTTTCAAAAAACCGGTTTTAAAGAAAATAGCTTTTTCGTTTTCTCTCGTTCTTGTGTGGGAAAATTGCAGGAAAGACGTCAATAGAATGAGTTTTCATGGTCCGATGTCCACCTTGCTTGGTTAATGTTAGCTCATATACAATTGATTTTGAAACTCCGACCCATAAGAAAAGCTATAAGATAGTTGTGAGCTCGTAGAGAAAATTTTGTATAATAATCGTAATCTTAATCTATAATCCATATGGCAGACGTCACAAGGGCAACTGGGTAGCACATGGACAAAATTGTTTTGCTATTCATACTGGCCATGAATAGATAGATATTTTTTAAAGTCTACGATGCGCATTTCCTTGCATTACACATATTAGACAAATTTGTTATGCCTAAAAACCTCCTTTGGCCAGTACTGAAAGAACGCGGCTTCTTGAAATATTTGTTCGGTTGTATGAGTGTATGAGTAAAATAGTGACATTTAAGGTCCATCGATTGTTGTAAAAGCAATAAAATGTTTGCAGTACTTTCAGAGGTGAATACATTTCAGATAGGTGAATAAATTTGAAAGTCTGAAAAGTATCATGAAATTATCAAAAAAATAGGTAAGAACATGTTGTCGGGAATAATCGATCATTAGATGCTCTATAGCAAACCACCTAGTAAAATTCTTTACTTCTTTCCATGATAATTTACCCGTAATTATAGTTTGTGCCCGTATGAAAGCACACATTTTATAGCAGCCCTTACATGGAAGAGGGGCTAAGATCTAAACCCACGTGGTCGAACTTTAGCATAATTAATCGCCTTATGAAAGACCTCATGGTAGCGTAGCAACTATTGGACTCTTTGCCTTACCAAGAATTATTTTTCATAAGTATTTCGGCGGGAGGCAAGGTCCAAAAAACGAATCTACTCGGTTCAAATATAGTCTCATCTGAATGTTAGCAAAAAAAAGACATTTTAAAGGCTAAGATATCGCCAAAACTCTTATGCGGGACGTTCGCGCCGTTGATTTTTATGTCAAGCTGCTAGTACGGACGATTTCTCGCTGTTACAAATTCAAACATTTTGACGTGTGCTTTCGAAATATCGACCCATCTCCATCCATAGTTTTTTCTAATAATGACTGCTTGAAAAAAAGGCGTTAATGTGGGGAAACTTGTCCGATCCAATGCATTACCAATTACCTCAATCGCAACACTTGCGACTTCTAGGTTGAACGTAAAAATACGCGGATAGATGTAAGACGGACACATGTACAGACATTAAATGTACACATGGACGGCAATGCTCAAATCGATTGAGAAAGTGATTTTAGAAACGAAGATGAACCCATCGATACAACAAAAGGCCAGTTTATCTTAAGCCTTTCTGGACGCTACATACACTTGAAACTATATCAAATGTCGCTTGTCTATAGAAATTTCACTACCTCTGCACATGAAACTGTGTGAAGTATCTCTCCATAAGCTTTATCCAAAAAAAATATGGTCTGCATATTTTCTACCGTTTTCTAAATGAATAGTTGCCAAACAACTGATATACTAAAATAATTGATTGTCGAAATTATATTTCCTCGAGCACAGCGAGGTGCCATCACTCGTCATCATTTTAAAAGATGACGAGTTATTATCAATTTTTTTTTTTGTTTGCTCCAAACGTATATAAGAAAAAGAGAAAATTGCATATGCGAAACTGTCAATGTTGATGCTGCTGCCAGCATGTAATTGTTCCAGCATCACAAAAGGAAAATCGCGTTAAAAGTGATTCGAACAACAATAAAATCTGAAGTAAGCTGTATAGGTATACCACTAACGCGGACAAGGGGTAAATTAAAATATAAACCACATTGACGAACATAAAGGGAATGAGAGAGAATTTTCTTTATCAACAAATCCTCATTTTCTAGTAACTTGTTTGAAAATTGTACACAATGGTGTTTATTGAGGAAAATGTTATTTAAAAATTAAATTTTGCATAAAATCATTATATTATACTTTTATGAATGCTCTGTACATTTTAGACGACCGATACGGTTACTAGCAGTGCAATACTTTCTAATAAACACACTTTGCTTTATCTCACATATCGCAAAGTAGTCATCATGATGCAATAATTTCTCTACTTTCATGTACGTAAAGAGAAAACGTTATGAATAATTTTCATATTCTGCCCATATCTCCTGGGGGCGTTAGCCTTTTTATGGCCACATTAACTGTAACCACACCACGTTAATATGAAATTGTTTAATTATTTAATTAAATGATTTTAAAATATCATTACGATTAAAATGTGTGTGCATGTAAGTGTGCGTCCAAATGTCTACATGCTTGTGCAAGTCAAAGAGTCAGTAAAAGATAAGGATGCATACCACGCAACCACACAAACACAGCAAGTATATACACAAAATGCTACTCCATATGAATAAAATGAGAAGGAAAACATAACATAAAGCTCTTGTGGCAGAGATGGTTATATAATAAATATATACAAGTGAAGCGTGTGAATAAGTGTACGCTCTGTTGATATCATATTTTATACAATCATTTAGTGAGAAACTCATAACCAAACACACATGGATAGAGTGTTTGAGCATATGTGTGTGTGCATGTTATCATATCATATGTTATCATACATATATATATATATATATATATGTATATAATAAATGTGTACTGTCGGTTATAGTTAACCAACACAATCATTTTACGTTAAAACCTACTTAAATAAAACCACACGCACAATACGCACATCATGTTATGAGCTTTTTAAAGGATAATATCTGTATGTAATGTACGCTTTAAATGTTTGCAATTTCTTACTTATAATATATTTTGCTCGTGCATGTGCATGTGCATGTGCATGTGCATGTATATATATGTATATTACTGTGTGTGTGTATGTTCCGATGAAACAAAATCGGATTATAAAGTAATTCAATCATTAAATGTAAGCTTTTTGTTAAGTATTAACTTTTGTTAAGTGTTAATTGACATGTGGTCAATATTAAAACGGAATCAAAATATGCAGCTACTGATCTTATTTGAATGATGGTCGAAAGCAGCTGTTCTTATTACGTATGAATCAACTGACTGTGTTAATGTGTGCAAATAATGATAACTTGAAAATAAAATATTAAACAAAAAAAAAAAAACAAGAACAAGAAACTATTCTGTAGAGACTTACACAATAAGGCGGCGGTATTAGTCAGTTGAGCACTACCCGGATTGGTAGCAGCATTCGTTAGTGAAGGTTGAGTTATAGCAGCCAAAGCAGCCAAATTTTGTACAGTCATAGGAGGTAGTAAACCAGCAGCAGCCGCTGCTGCGGCTGCCGTATCTGCTGTATTGGTTTGCGCACCCAAACCTAAAAATTTCGCCATAAAAAGCAAAAGCATGCATTTTTAGTCAACATCATCATATCGAATATGAGTTATTACAATATTATTATTTTATTTGTTTAAGCAAATACCTTGCAATAGTTGCTGTTGCAATCCGACTGCCTGCAGTTGTTGCAGCAATTGCAAAGAAGCCGGCGTTATGGCATCGGCACCCAAAACAGGACTAGCCTGTTGCGGGGGATTCGGTAGTATCGGAGTTGAGACGGTTGTCGCTGTTTGTCCCAATGGTATATTAATGTTGGTCGCCAAATTCCATAAATTCGCTTGAATTTGTTGAATTTTCTTTTGCTCCTTTTCTTTTTGAGTATCAGCGAATTTTACCACTAACGGCGATGTGCAGCCCTCCATGGTTTTATTTTGATTTAGTGTCTGCGAAAAAAAAGCACAACGTCAAAGCAAACACGAATATATTCACATTTGAGAAAAGCAGAGAATAACACAAAAAAAAAAAACGATGCTCAATAAATATGAATGAATCAAAGTTTTCATTTCACAGGCTGTTTGAAAAAGAATGCAATGTTTTTTTTTTTAGTTAGTTACGTTTCGGTCATAAATTTGTATTTTTTTTACTCCTTTTTTGTCCATTACGGCCCGTGAGGTATTAAATCTCTATTTCAACAAATGTTAGTTTGTGAGACCGATAAGCAATAACTTTCAATTAGAGTTGTTATCTAATATCTCCTTAAATCCCTCCTCCTCCTCCTCCTCCTCCTCTTTTCCGAGAACGATTGCAGGCTTCACAAATATCACAGAACACGCACAATGATCCTATGTAATGTTAGTCTTGTTGGTAACAATTTGGATTTTCTCAAACACATTTTGAATAAATGCTTATATGTTATGTTCTTTTAATGTATTTTCTATATGGGGGGGCATTCGATGTTATTTGCTTATTACCTTAATCGCTGATATCGCTGCGTGCTTTGTTGCAAACGTGACAAATGCACAACCTTTACTTTGACCGTTCTGATCACGCAACACTGTACACTCCTCGATCGCACCGTGCACTTCAAATAATTTACGTACGTCGTTTTCGTTCAGCTTCTTATTTAACATACCAACAAACAGTTTACGTTCTGCAAAAAGATAAACATAATAAGGAAGAAAATTTTCATGAAAAAATTTGAGAAAAAAGTATAGAAATAATAAGAAATTAATTAATTGATTTGTCACATTTTAAGCTTTTTTGCTCGTGCTACACACGAGTCCTTCTCTTCTATTCTCTCCTTTAAAAGTGTAACAGGCACGTTTATCACACAGCTTTAATCAACGAAATATTTACCACCGCTACTTAGAGTCTTTTGCCTATTAACGGGTAACTTGCGCGGATAGCCTCGCCCATCGAAGCATCTTTAATTTACAAAGCCTCTAGTCTAATGCTAACTAGAAGCAGGATGAAAGGTCTCACAAACAACAGAATTTCTCCCAACCTCGATTGAATATTGCGTATACGTACATACGTCGTCATTAGGAACCAAAATTTTTTTTGGATGAAATCTTCGAAAATACTTTCTGTTTCATTGCCTACCGCTTCAACTTCAGCTACATTTTTTTTTTGCACTTTAATCCCGTTAAAAACCAAAAAAACACAATGCCCTAAATGACTTGCATTTTTTACACATCGATATCCACTGAAGGACACCTTGTAAATAACTAAAATTTATATTGTGCAACAAACATCGATTTCTAATCTACATATGTTTCTTAAAATTTCGAAAATAATGAACGCATTATAGAGGGTTTAGGAAGCAACCAACACCTATACAGAGAAGTTATTAAGCACACCTAACACATTAACTATGTGGTAGCTTTTTGATTAAATAGTGGAATTGAAGCCGCCGAACAATATTTATCCTGTAATGAGAAAAATTTTGTTTTGCTTCTTGTTTGGTTTATGAAGGGAAGAATACCAAGTTTGCTTATTTCTCATGCAAATTTTTTTTAGCCTTTGCTGGCTAGATTTGCGGTAGATCTTCTTTACACATAGAAATCGTAAAGGTATCTAATAATAAACAATTGGAAAGAAGTAATTAGAAGAGATGTTATAAAATTGAAGCAATCGTGCTTACCAACTCAAGAGGAAGGTAATAATAATGTCAATGACTACCCCCCAAACCTATATCTATAAGAAATTGTCCGAAATTAGAATTTTCCCTTTGGGAAATATGAATCGCCGTTTTTACTGATACCGTCATATGTTTCAAACAGGAATTCATGAATGACGAATGTGATTGCATTACGTAAAAACTCCGCAAAGCAGGAAAAGCCGTTGTTGGCTTACAAGTTTTCCGAAAAACAAGGAAGAATGACGACAGCACCGAAAATAGTTTATTAAATCATATATGTGTACTGAACTAAATAAACTATCTTAGAGGAGCGAGTAATGTACGTTTCTTTTCTTCAATATTTTTTATATCGTCTTAAATGACTTACTGCTGAATAGTCGACAAGAAGATCCAAGAAGTTTCAAATAATAGCTCGAAATCTTGTGTTTTTAAAAACTCGACTTTTCAGAGAGCGGCGTTGATAGCTCGCAAGCAAACTGTTGCTACGTTTCATGAGTTAGTCGTGATCTTATTTTCAACGCATTTCAACTCCCAGCTGATTGGTTTAAATTGCAACTGCAACTACGTAACAACATTCTCTACTACGGCCAGAGAGGTTTGTCATTCTGAGAGAGAGGCCGATTTATTTTTAAATTACAGAGAAACTACAAACACTGATTGAATTTCGTAGTTGAAAAGAAAAATGTAGTTATCCCTTAATGAAGGTATATATATATATATATACCATTATATATATATATAGCATTTTGTAAGCGTAAAAAAAAAACATCCTCCTGATTAAAAATTGGATCAAATTTTCTTTTAATATATCGCTTGGAACTTGCAATTATTTTCGGAATACACATACATGGTTGCACATCCCGAGAACAACATTCCCGCGGTCGGGATTAAGTTCATGTTTAGTTTACAAATATCTTTGTAAATAAGAATTTGGTATAAAGAAAACAAATCTTATATTCATAAAGGCCTGTTACGTGTACAAAAACAATTTTGGGCAGCGGTTGCTGGACTGAAAATGTCTTTTCCGAACATAACTATGTTCTTGCAGTTACCATCAATGCAGAACGCTAAAGAAATACATCAACTGACTTTTTGTGACAAAAATGAAATGATTTCGACTTCGACGACATTTAGCTTCAACAAAATGGTGCTACATACCATATATGAATTTCTTGGTAGAAAACTCCGATAATCGTGTAATTTCTACAAATGTCCATCCGAGCCAATCGCCTCCAAAATAATACAATGTAGCTCAATAGGACTTTTTATTTCGGGGTTATGTTGGAGGATTAATTTAACCAAGCCAATCACGACCTCTCAAAGATCTTACTTACTTACTAAGATCATTTGTGTTATTACTGAAAAAATTGCTAAAATCGATGTACCAGTCTAGAATTTTGGCTCTAGAAAGGCCTTGAAATAATATCTAATTTAAAAAAAAAAAAAAGTATTAGCCAACTTGCGTTTTCAGTTCCCCGTTGCAAATCATTTCACTTCATGAGTACATCATCATGTCATAAGCGATAGGAATGAGTTTATTAATTGAAATACTTGATTCAGTGCCACGGGTGCCGTATTTCAAAAACTTCATCTCGCTAAGCATGTAATCCGAGTCAACCGTGAAGAATTTAACATTAAACTTGATTCAATGATATTCGACACAGATGATGCTTTATGATATCTAAGCTTAATATGGTTAAAAGTAAAAACATGATAAGTAAAAGCGCTCTTAAATTAAACCAACGAAAACAAATGGAAGTGAATATGAAAATGAAGACTTAAGCATAACTTAATACATATATATATATATATATATATATTAGAAAGTGGCATTATACTCACCCTATAAAAGAATTTCTTGAATTATATGCATGGGGGATAATATAAAAAATGGAAAGGTTGATAATATTAAAAGTGCAAAAAAAAAAAACAAATCTAAAAGAGGGGAAAGCAAAATATAAAAGCGAATGGGGAAATTTTGTTAAGAAGAAATTTTTTATGCGACGTAATTCAGTAGCAGTTTAATTCTAGATTAAAACTCTACCATTAAACCCAGTGAACAAAACAGAAAAAAATATGAGAGCAAAAATGAAAGAATAAGCCAGTGACTACTGAATGAAAATAACTGAAGATATTTTCATTTTTCGTGTAAATAAAATAATAGCTATGCGGCAAGCATTTGTTGATTTCGTATAATCTTTTACTTTTCGTTTTTTATTATTCTCTCTCTTCGTTTACATTCTATCTCCTTTTGAATTATTAAAAACTGCAAGACGCGTGTAAGGGAACGAGCGTGCAGACGAATTCGTAAAGAAACTTTTTTACAAAGCTCTCTTGCTAGTAATAATCAAGGTGACCAGACTTCGGATGCGATAGCGCTACTATTGGAACACCGAGTCCGAAATGATTGCCTACATTTCGTAACATAGTCGGGAATAAAACAATTGATGTGGTTGCTGTTTACAAACGGCACATACAAGTAGTAGTCGTACTACATGGAAACTGTGAAATCATCTGATATCTGAACTCTTTTACTTAGCTAGACATTAAAAGTATTTTACAAGTTCGTGATGTTTCACCCGATAAACGTTTTTAGAATTACATATACCTCTAAAGATGTATAACAGTGCGGGTGTAAGATGACGGTATTTACGTAAATGAAAAAATTCATTGCGGTTTTGAAAATTAGCCAAAGTTTTGCAAATATTTATTATAAGTTTCAAACATAAATATGAAAATGCCTCATTAAAATCACCGGCACGCTCTGCACATTAATACGTTAAAAACCAGGCACCTTCTCTTCGACTGATTATCCAGGGTTAATATTATTCTTCAAGAAAAGGGGGTGATCCGGACATCTCGTCTTGATGTCTTGATGTATCCAAACGGCGAAACGTTTTTCGAAACTCGGCAAGAAATGCGACGACCTTGACCTTGCTCGCAATGTAGTCCTGGATTTGCTTCTTCCAACCCTTAATTGTTTCCCTTTTTCCTTTCACTTCCTTAGTGGTATAAAATCAACCACAAAAGAAAGGCCTGAAAAGTATTTGGGGTTCGGTTTTATCCCAAAATACCCTACAACAAAAAAGATCTCTATGGAAGTGAGAGCATAATAACTTTTTCCAGAAAAATTTCCCAGTTTTGGCGAAAAGAAAAAGAGACCACGAACTTTTTCTTTGATGTAAATCAGTAGCTAAAGTTGAGAACCATATTAGTGAAACAGAAAAACATTTAAAGCAGTAATTTTGTGTTATGCTGATAAAGTAATGCTTTCAACGTAAAATTAGTAAATAAATAGCATTCAGTAGCATCCGGTCTAGTAGAAGGAGAAATCGCTTTAACCCAAATTGTTTGCTTGTCGATTAAGGAAAAGCAATTTGTAAACTGTAAAGAAACTGTTAATCAGACGCAGACAAGTAACTTTTCATCCCGGAGTACACTTAGGAAACGAAAGTTGATTGAAGACCAGTTTGTCATTGCACTTCAATGGATAACTCTTGGCATGACGTGAGCTTTCGAATCGATTTTTAGCTATGCCCGCTTATTGATTGTTTTCAAAGCTTTAAAAATCGCCAAAGATCAAAAAAATTGAAACATGAAAGACATTCTTCTTATTCTTATCTTATTTACAATCAAGGGTTAAGAGAAACTGGCATCACTCAAATGCTAATCAAAGAAATTAATGTCGATTCCAAATGAGGTTTTTATCAAGCAGAATAGCAACAATTACGATTTGATAATTAGCAAAATCATGATATCATCAATAAAAAAAATTGTGCGTAGCCAAAATTTGGTCCAAGATGAGCTCCAAGAAAAGTTTATCGGAAAAAAACTTAGATCTTTCTCAAGTAAGTAAATAAATATATACGGGTTACCTATCGACGATAGTCCTTCTAATTTGTATGCGTGTATTTACTTTACTAAGTGGCGTCTGATGTAGATGTGTTAGGATAAATTTACACAGGAATATTTTATGAAAAAAAAAAAAAAAAGAATTGAAAAAACTGAAA